GTGTGTTACAGGACCCTTTAGAGACTCCCCCTGCCCCCCCGCTGGGCCAGAGGGGGGGGGAAATCGCCAGCTTCTGGGACTCTTCTGAAGCTTCCCAAGCCTCAAGTCCCAGAAGGTGGTGATTTCACCCCCTCTGACGCCTGGGGGGCAGGGTGAGTCTCAAAAGGGTCCTAGCGTGTGTTCCAGGACTCTTTAGAGACTCACCCTTCCCCCCTCCCCGCCGGGCCATAAGGGGCAAAATTGCCACCTTCTGGGACTCTCTTGAGGCTTGGGAAGCTTCCGAAGAGTCCCAGAAGCTCGCAATTTCACCCCCTGTGACTCCCGGGGGGGCAGGGTGAGCCTCCTAAGGGTCCTAGGGTGTGTTCCATAAGATGGACCTCTCCATAAAGCTCACCAATTTTTAGGAGAAGAAAACAGATTATTTTTTTCCTGTTTCCTTCTCCTAAAAATTTGGTGCGTTTTATGGAGAGGTGCATCTTATGGAGCGAAAAATACAGTACCTAAATCACTGAGCCATCTACACCAATTGTGTGATTTTATTTTACCATTCAAGTACACATTTAAAAAGATAGCTAGGAGGGTTTATGGAGTAAAGGCCTGCACCTCTCCTTCTGCCCATCTGCCCTCAAATTCATCCCTCTGTAAGACAGGCCTAGCTCACAAATCTGAGGCTAAGCTAGTTACAATTATTTATAGTCTATATAAGTCTGATTTCAGTTGGCCTCTTCTGAAGAATGACTCAGTATGAGTCCAATTCAGTGTGTTTAGGCCACTGAAACCCGTCTTTATTTTCTAAATGTCTAAATGGCTTTTCTTGCAAAAATTAGGGAGCAGCTCAAAGTATTTAGAAGCCTCTGTGTCATTGTTGGCCCCATCTTTTTCAGGTTCCTCTTCACAGGAAACACCTCTGAGAGCACTAGTTAACCATAACTGGCGCTCCTGGTAGAGAAACCTACACAATGACAAGCGTTGTATCAACTTCTCCTATATCATGTGTTTCATGCCCATGCTTGCACAGGCGAGAGTGATAAAAACTGTATTGCCGCTGGAGCCAACAGCACAAAAACTGTCCAAGACCAGTTCTATCTTTGCTCAATAAGGGGGCCACTGAAAACTTACAGACAAGGCCACAGCTCAGGGAGAGCATCGGCTTGGAATGCAGAAAGTCCAGAGTGACCAAGATGTGCCAGAGATTGAACCCATGACTGTCCATGTATGAAGCAGCTGTTGCGTTGCAGAGCTGCTGCTTTCACACTTGCAAAGTTTTTGTTCTAATTAGAGCACTCCACAGCCCATCATCGTCTGGCCAACAGGAAGCTTTGAAAGGGGTTAAGATGCCAGCTGCTTCCCCGCTCCATCTGAGAGGAGACCGTTTCCTCCATCAGAAAGAATGAAGCGTGCTGATGATCGTCTACTGGTAACCTGGAAATCGGCTGTTCTTAGCAAAAGGACTGCAAAAGTGAGACTCAATGAATGTCATTAATCTAAGACCCAGCAGAAATCAATAGTTCTGGTATCTGGTTGTGGATCCAGAAGTTGGGAGTTTGGTTTCCCTCTGGGCCTCCCTGACGGGCTGGACTCGATGGTCCTTAGGGTCCCTTCCAGCTCTGCAGTTTTCAGATATTATATTCTCTCCCACGATACGAGATTAATTACCAATATGGAGTATGGAAGCATATTTTTAAATTACAATTATTTCCACCATGTGTGGTGATTGTGCTTATACATTTGAGGCCAATATTCTGTTACCCATCTGTTAACTGGGAAAACCTGCTCACATAGTAACGTGGGACTAACCTGCTTGTGTAGTCAGTGGTGATGTGCAATGTGAAAAAAACCACCACCCTCTACTTCCCAACAGCAATGTTTATGGAAGCAGCATGATTCTGCGTTACCTGTGTTGGCAGGCCCTTTTGTTCAGCAAATACCCAACAGGACACTGGCCCAAAAGCTTTGGGTGGGAATGTCAGAGGTTTGACATTTAGTTCTTCTTTTTGTCTCATTAGATTTTCTCTAAGGAATACATCTGATTGAATTGATTCTAAAAGACTAGGCAACTTGTATGTGTGAATTTCAGAAGACCATGAAGGAGAAACATAAAGTACTCTGTACTGGAGGTATCTATCTTCCTTTTGGCCTTGTTTTTCAACAATTGGAAAATAAGATACTGTACCTTCAAATCTAGATATGGATCCTGAGCCATTGTTTGAGAGACGTTCAGATGTATAAGAAGTTGTATTAGCTTTTCATTCATCCAGGAATATGTATGTTCTACCAAAATCAAGACTGAGCTAACTTGTTAAAGCACATTTTATTGAAGTAATTTTTGAGGGAAGCTTTCATATCATAAGTAAAAATACTAGAGTTGAATGTTGTAAAAAAACAAAAAACAAAAAAAAACCCACAACACACACAATGGGTTTTTATGTAGAGGGAGATATTTTAAATACATTCCCTTTGAAATTAAAAAAAAATATGTTAAGGAACTGCAGTATAGTTCAATTTTATACAGATAAAGAGAACAGAAACAAAAGCATATCTAAAAGAACGTAAAGCCACAACTGAATAAACTCATTCGCAGCACAAAAGAGAGCTTAAAATATTGCCTGTATCAAGGGCAAAGAGATTTTTGTCTCCCAATAACGTTTGGCCAATCAAGAATGAAGCAGTGATGAAAATACAAAACATTGTGATAAGGGAGGAAAATAAAGATGGGTTGGGGGGGAGGGTCAACTTTTGGACTCCATTGTTCCTTGAACACACATGCTCAGCTGAACTTTCTCCTTTTACATACATCTGCTGCAATGCTGATGGAGTTTCTTCCATCCCTTGCCAACACCATCCACCTCCCCAGCTTAGTAACCTTTAGAAATGTACACTTGCAGACAGAGTGAAAAACACAGAGATGCCATCTTGACTTGCATGACATGTTGGCTCTATAAATACATGGACAAAGGCAAAGTCCTTCGGTGCCCAATACCAGATGGCCAGCTACTTGCTCAGTAAGATATGCCATCATTTGAGAGCATTGTGCATTTTTTTGCATGTGTGTAATATGTGTGTGTGTACACGTATGTACATGTGTGCGAATTCATGCTTCTCTGGACCTGCATTCCACTGCCTGGTCAACGTCTGCCACTAGAAAGCATTTTCCCTTGACCTTGGCAAAATAAGATTCCTTTCTCAAAGGCAAAACTACGCGGTGACTAAAAACGGTGCAGGCCCTCTGCCCAGAACTACACTCTGGATACACCTTCCACTGGTTCCCATGGAGCCTCTGTGCAAGAAGCGGCTGGTAGATAGCTGTCAAAATTTGGCAATGGAATTCATTAAATGCATTCTCTTAAAGGGGATCGCTCTCTGTGTATCATTTAAAAATGGATTCAGTTCCACTGAGCTCCATTTGATATGTTCATTTCTTGCAGCAGGCGTGTAAGCGCACTCATGTGTTTTGATTTTACTGCATCAGAGCAAAAAATGGCATTCATTTCGAGGCTCCAACTTTATCAGTGTTACCACACAGAGGCAAAATCCTTGCATCTCCAGAGTTTGTTCATTTTTTTGTTTCTGTTGCTCATAATATTGCACTACCTAAATTTGTTTCTCATCCTATATAAATCTAATTGATCAGAGTGAAGGTTCTCTACTTACATAATGGGCTGTATGGAATAAATAAAAAAATATGGCGGAGTTTAGGTTTTGTGTTTTTTTTTGTCGTCGTAGTTGTCAATGCTGCTGCTGCTATGTTGAATTTCTTAAGCATCTAGAGAGAAAACAGTTTTGGTGTGTATTCTTAAAAACCTAAAATGTTGTGTTTTTTTTCAGAAGAAAAAGCTTTTTCTTTATTGTTTTCAGTAATGTTTTAAGAACAGATTCTTGTCTTCTTTCCCAAAATTGCATCAGAGAATCCAACTCAAAAAATGCGCCAGGATTGTTTTAAATACACAGCCTGTGAGGCTTCCTACAAATTCAACTAAACCGTAGTACAAACATAGTTTGTAATTCATGTATCGTAGAGAGTTCTCTAGTGTCCATCAAAATTAAAGGTCCCCAAAATGCAGTCTGATTGGTTGCTGTGAATGGGCAAGCGAAACACTAAGCCGTTCCACTGGCGGAATAAGAGAATTGAGGGAAGTGCGGTCGTCGCTCGTTGTCAACACAATCCATACTGTCGTCTGGAACCAAAGAAGAGAAATAGTGAAAATACTTCCACTGTACTATCTATATAACTGCACCAAACAACAATAAGAAGAGTTCTCTTAATTTTCTGGGCTACAGATCCCAGTCTCTCCTGGCCAGCATGACTGCTGTACCTTACTTCCATTAACCATCATGTTGGATTTATAGTTTAGGAAGGGTGCAGAGAAATTCCTCACCCCCCCATAATATGATTTATTTTTTTTACAGCCTCACGTGCTGCCTCTAGTAGGTGTGGCTGGGAGAGACTTTTCTGGGCTGGGACAGCTGTCTGTCTATCCAGCACTAACCAATAGTTTTTTTCCTGCCTCGGAATTCAAAGAGAGCCCCGCCTCTCTACTGAGTGTTCTTTTTTCCCCCCCTTTCTAGAATCTGTTGAAATCTTTTGCTGAAACTAGTCATGTTTGTCAGTTTGCTCTTTGATCTGTTCAATTGTAAGAAATGAAACCTTTTTATTCGTTCTCTTACAAAATATCTCTTGAGTGAGTTATTGAGACTATAAGTGCCACGTGATGATGGAAAAAGGAGCCTACTCTGGGGAATGCGAAGCTCCTCTGCTCCGTGAATCCCTGTACTTCTGCTGAGCAGCAAGAGGGATTCTAATCAGAAATTCAGAACTCGGCAACATATCACAATTCTAACAATTGCCTAAGGAGAAGGAATGAATATTAAGTACATCAAAATCTGTTATGTTAACATGTGCCCTCACTACTCAGCAGGCACAGTCATATTCTCTGGGTTCTAAAAAAATCCATTTCTGATTCTTCAAAATCCTCCCGGGAATTGGACTGTTCCTGATTCTGAAAGAGAACCATAATTCTTTGTTGTTTCCAAGACTAGCACGTCACCTATTTAATCAAAGAAGATCTTGGGTGCTGGACTGAATGTGGAAAGTGGGGATAATGTAGGTTACAAGCTGTATTCCCTACCCTTATGCTACTACAAGCATGGTCCCTAGCTTGCTTTCAATAAACCTGTAAGAAGCGGATTTTTGTCTGTTTCCCAAGGGGGCTGAGGCTGACCTGCAACCCTTGTATTCAGACAAACAAGATGAATCGCTGAAAGGAAAACTACAGTGGTTATACCTTGGTCAGGAGGGGTGATTGTGATCATCTGTGCTGTGAATTCTTCATCAAAATAGCGTGTATCTGTTTCTGATGTCACCTGTGGTTTAAATGGAGGTACCAACTGGGAAAAGAGAAAACCAGAGAGATTTTGTAAGCTGCTGGTTCAAAGAGAACAGTGGCAAACTGAATGATGGAATTCTCCACATCTGCAGAAATTTCAAGATCTAGCTATAGGAACAGCCCCTCTTACCTTGTTTTCCCCAAAATAAAACCTAACCTGAAAATAAGCCCTGGTATGATTTTGCATGATGCTTGCAATACATGCCCTTCCCCAAAAATAAGCCCCAGTTAAGTGAAATCCCACCCCTCCACCCTTGTGCAGCAACCAGAAGATGACTGAATAAATGTAGATGGTTGCAAATGAACTGCTGTAACTCTTTCGCCTCCCATTCCTGAATCAAAGTTCACCTTCCTTGAACATGGGGTTTGGTTTATACTCCTTTTAAAAATATATTGCTAGCTCATTTCTGAAGCTTCCACTTAACATAATGGTAGCTCTGGCATTTGATCTCCTCGTCATTGACTTTTTAAATGATCGCCTGAGGAAACGGGTGGGTGATTCAGAAGGCAAGGCCGAAAGAGCAGACACATTCACGATGCCCAAGACCGGTTGGCAACAGCCTGCTGACTAATACAGAAATAGGTTGCTTGCATCTTTCTAAAAATTATGATCCAAAGTGAGATCAGAGACAAGGAGAAACAGGACACAGGCGGGATTCAGGGGAAGCAACACAAAGGAGAAACAAGAGCAGGGGGAATGTTTTGATGTGGTCAGTTTTCTAAAACAGTCATCCTCTGCTCTACAAGGATGTCTACAGTTTGGGGCATATGAAGCATTAATGTGATTAAAGTAAGACACACCAAACTATGGTTTAATGTCACACAAATGAGCCTCAGGCTTGCATGCTGATCCCTCTCGTATCTTCTGCTGGCCCAGTTTCAAAGAGAAGATTTGAAGTTCCCCTTTCCTCTGTTAAATTTTCTAGGTTTCTTCATTACGGTCAAACTCCATGTATCCCCCACTAGTTTTCTCAAAGTTCACTGGCTAAAGCAGATGAGCCAGGAACAAGCTAGTGTGCCTAATGGCCTTGGGTAGTTCACTCACCACTGTCTAAAACTGTGCAAAATTCCTTAAGATCGGTGTTAATGGAGCATTTAGATTACCGTATTTCTCGCACCATAAGACGCACTTTTCCCCCACAAAACAGGGGGTGGTGGAAAGTCTTATGGAGCGAAGAAAACAGATTATATTTTCCTGTTTTCTTCTACTAAAAAATTGGTGCGTCTTATGGAAAGGTGCGTCTTATGGAGCGAAAAATACGGTAGTTTAAAAACAGCATCTATTGGATCAAAAGCAGCTTTGATTTTAAAAATAGATAAAATAAGATAAACGGGAGCTTCCAGGTTCTTCCTGATGTTGGAATTACTTGCCAGGATGTATAGGTGAGGTGTGAAAAGAGCAGGGAAGGATGTATATACATTTTTGTGTAGCTTGGGGGGAAGGGAGGGGGAGGGCAAGTGGATGCAGAAATGGGGCAAAAGGGACCAAAGACTGGGATACTCAGAAATGAAACACAAAACACGTGACTGACCCATAGAATGATTCTGTGCCTCCTTTTGTTGTCACTTACAGCGGAGGTCGGGAATCATTCACTCTCCAGATGTTTTGGACTACAAGTCCCATCATTTCTGGATGGGGCTTCAGGAAACTGAGCGGCAAAACATCTGCAGAGCAAATGCTCCCCACCTTGCTATAAGGGAGACAAGCTTTGCCTTGGAATTGCAAAAAGAGACAGGAGAAGGTCCAAAATCGATTACCACCAAGCTTTGTAAATTATAGTTGGGAGGAAACACATCCACTCTAATCTGTCATTATGGGTCTGCAGATTGAACGTGTCTGCGCAGAATGAAAGTACTTTTTGTACTCATAAAAAATGCTGGGCCGCTTCCCAATCTGGGTCTGAAAGACAATGACGCTAAGTCTGTATTCCTAATGGCAAAGCTATGGCATGATGAAGGTAAGGGAGCTGAAAATGTGACGCTGATACGGTGCATGAGATACCAGCAAGGGAGGTGACTGGCTTCTACTGGGGGAAATTGAAGGCGCTCTCCCCAGGGCACCTGCAAGGAAGGCAGCTTCCCTGCATATGTAATGCAGTGGCACTACAAAGCGTTTTTCGCCTGCTGAACTCTGCCTGCCCAAACCCAATGGGAGAGTGCCCAGGTGGGACAACAGTAGGTAAAGCAGCATCCTGTGGAGTACCATACTCTGCGGAATTTCAGAGTCCCAACAGTGTGCACCGGAGACTGCTCCACCGAAAGCCATGGGGTTTCCCTGTGCATATGGGTTGGTGATTACCCCCTTTGTGCAATCACTAAGACCAACTGCACAATTAAGTAGTGAATCATTACAAATCCCCTCCTCAAGAGGATTCTGCTACCAGTTTCAAGGTTCAAGATGCTGCCCTCCACATGCTTACTTGGGAATAAATCCCAGACAGCGCAGTGGGGCTTCCTGCCACAGAGCTACACACAGGGTCCTCATGAAACTCTACAACACTGGGATGCAGAACAACCACAATCCAGTTTAAGCTAGAATAATGAGTAGGAGAATTGACTATCTAACGAGGAAAAAAGTTTTTATTTAGAAGTGAAACAAATATATAGAAGAAATGAACTTTTGAGGGAGGGGCACGGAAAAATTACACACAGACACAACACAGAAGGAATCCATGGGGTACAATCCCCTGCCAAAACAGGAAGTCCACAGCTAAGTAACTCTGACAGGTGGCCATTAAACCTCTTCTTAAAAATCTCCAATGAACTAGAGTTGATCACCCTCTGAGACAGTCAAAGAGCCCATACTGTCAAAATGTTCTTCCTAATGTTTAGGAGAAATCTCCTTTGTTGTTATTTGATGGTTCCTCCATCTTCCACCTTATTTGAAGATGGCTATCAGATTGCCCAACAGCCTTGTCTTTCTCCAGGCCAAATGTACACAGCTACCTCAACCATTTTTCATAGGGCTTGGTTTGGCTTGTTGAGCATTCCCCCTACCCCTTTCTTCCCTCTTCCTTCTTTCGGCTTAGATGTAAGAAGCTGGAGAGGAGACGCACATGCTCAGGAGCGGTTTAAGGATTTAAAGGAGGTGAAAAGAAAGATAATGACAGGGGATGGTAAATGCAACTCCAACCAGCCCTCTCGTTTGACAGTTTAATCAGCCTGGATGCCAAAGTACACTTGGAAGGTGCCCTGCTGACTTTAGAATTCAATATAATGTTAATGAAGACATCAACATCAGGGCCTCTGGATCGAACCTTACCAGAGCTGAAACATCTATCTCCATCAGCTCACAGATAGGATGGTTTATAATCATATGTGGATGGTGACTTTAGAGGGCAGCAGAGAGCCATACTGGGAAACACATGGTAGCAGTGGTGGGGGAGCCAAAGGAAACGGGGGGGGGGAGAGGAACACATGACCTTATGAACTGTTGCTACCCCTACCTTCAGTTCAGTAGAACATTCCAGCTAGCTGGACTGTATAGCAAGCATGCTGCTTGGAAACAATTTGTTAAAATTAACTGGTTACTCCACATTCGTTACAGTTTAAAGAGCTATTTAAAAAGTTAACATTTTAAATCATTCTACAACAATTACGCTATTGAAATCCTAAATCCTATGATTTTCAGTGGTAAAAAACGATGGGAGTTGGCCAGTTTTAGTAACTTTAAAAAAATCCCCCCTCCAAAAAAATTTACCGTATTTTTGCTCCATAAGATGCACTTTCCCCCCAAAAAATGTGTGTGGGGGGGAGTCTATGCATCTTATGGAGAGAATGCAGCAATTTCGTCCCCGCTGGCCCTGTGGGAGGGAGCGTCGCAAGGGTCCGGGTGAGCCTTCCAGGACCCTTGCGACGCTCCCACCACCCCCCACGGGGCCAGCGCAGGCGAAATCGC